TTCAGTATGTATAATACTTCGTACTCTGCACCATGCTCAACCTACTAACAAGACTCAGATCATATCTCCAAACCTTCACTCAGCTGAATGATGCGACCCCATCCTACCATCTCCTCCAAACGGAGTCGGATCGGTTTAAAGGACTCCTACACCCACAGCTCCTACACAAGCTCCTCTCGACTTTAGCCGCAAACGACTACCACTACCGCATCTTCTTTTCGGTACCTCAATTTATCCCCCTGAGGACGACCTGCTACATTATTCTGTACTTTCAGCTGCATCTTAGGCGCTTGGGACTTTTCGTTTTGTGTATAACAAGAGACTGTATGATGGACATGATAGCGATATGTTTTCTGGGATTTTAGAAGGCGTTCTGATAGAATAGGAGCAATCCCATAGCAATGGTCATCGCTTAGGCGCCTTTTGGGCAGGGCGGATGAGCATTGCATTGAAGCTTTATCGGACTTGATCCTATAAGGCATGTATCATAGTAGATAATGGGAGGCACAGTAGCATAGCCATAACAATTGTAGATCATAAAGTTTGGCAAAACTATACATCATTGAATATGACGTGTCGCGGATGTGATTGAGGTATTAGAAAATGAGTTAAAGTTGATGGGATCGTTGAAGAAGAAGATGGATGGGGCGTTCGCATTCGCGTATCTGTAACTTACCCCACGCTGCCGCCTATCCTAAGCCTTGGCATAGATAATGAGATTACATGTGTTGATGCGTCTGCATGCTTGCTTGTTCTCCCCGTGGGTGCGAGGATGATATATGTGAGCGCGTGCGTCGCAAGCAAGCCTCAAGGCAACTCTCAAATCTTTCTTCGCGACGCCTGACCATCCCCTCACAGTCTGTCAGATTTCGTCGTTGGACTCGAAGATGACGTTCTCCCGCCCATAGTGCTTCGATTTGCGGACCCCGCAGCAGGAACTAGACGTTAGTCACAGAAACCCAAAAACAGAGTCACGCACGCGCAAACATGGAGATTTTCACGGCTCAGAAAGCAACGTGCCGCCTAGTCGACCAGAAAGAGCACCATCGGCGCGTTGTGCCCAGGCGCGAGTAGACTACTGGTGCTTAATCACGATGGTGTTCAGGGAAACACGATTCCTTCTGGCGCGCAAGACGGAGCACAGTCCTTGAAAGTCTTGTCCTTGCGCCTGGCTTGCTGCTCGCGGAGGAGCCAAGAGCACGGTCAATATAAGAAGGGTTGTGACTGCCATCGCGTCATCACTTCGGCTTTTGTTGAATCTCCCTTACTTTGACGATTCGCTTCCAAGTAAACGCCGCGACTTCATCCTCGTTTGCGCCGACGCACACGCTTCTACAGAAGTAGCCTACTACCAATCGTACTCTCAAAGCTCTAATCAACACCAATTCGCGCAAGATGACCACTCGACCGAACGAATACCAGCGCGTTGCCTCGCACGGGCGCGGAGGTGCTGGTAGGTTCCTATTTTCCTTTAGATCTTGAATCGCAAGTCCATAATGCTTGGGTGATGATTAGCTGGGCCTGGATATCTTTGCAGCGCACGCAGGCGCGCAAAGACTACAACATGCAGTCAAGCAGTCGACAACCCTCGTGAAGCGCTTTACAATCCTTCACCAGTTTCTGCTTCTGAGCCATCACTAACGTTCCAAGGCAACATCGCAAAGGATGACCCTACCAACTACCCAAAGCCCGAGGACCTTGTCACTCCAACACTCAAGTCGAACACATACACCACCGGCCGAGGTGGCACTGGAAACATGGCGAAGAACGACCCCGAACGCCCTGAGCTTGCGCGCGCTGCTCAAGATGTCGACAGTAAACCGCACCCAGAGCCTCAAGGCCCCAAACACTACGGTCGTGGAGGTGCCGCCAATATCATCGGCGACGGACAGCCTGCGCAACGAAAGAGCGCCGAGGCTAAGCGCAAGAGCGAGGAATCTAAGCGCGAGGACAACGGAAAGGGCCTGCTTGGCAAAGGCAAGGACTTGTTGAACAAGTTGGGCAAGAAATAAGCCTGATTAAGCTAATGGTCGGCAATATGATGCTACATTGAAGGCACCTGGCTTAACGATCTGCCCTGTAACATATGATGGGTCTCTTGGTTTCTTTATACGGTTCATGATATCCCAGGAAGCGCAAGGCTTTTAATTGGCGGGCGGGAGGAGTTGGTGGCATATCTTCTTATAATCCGGACGATTGTCTAACCTGGCATAGTGTTATTCAATTGCTTGATTACCTCGTCGATCGTTATGCTTGATTTGCTAAATCTTCTGTGCGGATGGCTGCTATGCCATTCTTTCGAGAAGGCACTTTGGCTCGTGACATTACATCCTACTGCCTGGACTTTCGTTGATGCTACGCAGGATGTTGGAAAGGGTCTGAGAGCAGCGCACCATCACCTGAGTTGATTACATCACTCTTACATGACTTTTACCGTTGACATTCCAAAGTGGCGTACTACTGTTTGCTTTTCTCACAATCGTTAGCCCTTTCGGCATTCTGTCATCTCGCAACCCGTGCAATGCTTTGATAGGACAGCGCCGCTTATTACTACCGGAAGGTCCATAAAGGGTCTTCGGCAACAAGCAAGCGTCATGCGCGGGGATTTACGACATCCACCCGCAGCGGGGCCCTCATCCTCGCACGGTTACATCAAAACATCGCCATCCGCGTGTAGTACGCATTTGATCTCAAGTTTTCTTCAGTATTATCGCCACGCAAGCCCAAACGAAACGTTTCCCGAATATATGACATCCAATTGCCGAGATCAGCACACGCACATACGAGCCGTCGCTGCAAACGTGAAACAAGAACAACCCATTCCAGTCGCGCTCAACTCCGGTTCCCGATGGCTTGGTAAGCTATCAACGCAGTCCGTCGCTTATACATCACCTGGTAGGGTCCTGCCGTTATGGAGAGTCGTCCGATCGCCATGCTGTGGCTGCAGCTAATGCCTCACGGCTCACATGAGTTGCACGCTTTGGTGGGGTGTAAGAAAGTGACGTAGAAAGGTCAACATAATCCAACCATTGGGAAAGATAGTCGAGAAAGATACTGATCATGGAGTTTCCGGGATTATTATATCATACATGGAAGAGATCGAAAAAAGCGCAGTACGCGAGACAGTTCGCATAGAGCACCTTTACTCTCACACACCCTCCCGAGGTCCTCTGTATGCATAGCATCGGTCCTATACCAGCTCCAGGAACACTCCCGCTCCACACCGTCCATACGTAGATAAGTGACCCGGTGAGCGGCGATAGACCCGCCCGGCATGCGCTCTTTTCCGAGAGCATGAGCCTTGGAATCTTGGGGATGATGACACCCACTCCACCACACCGTATATGCATAGGCAATATGGTTCGTTCAGCCTGCAACAAGTACGCCTTGCTCCACGACGTGGTCTGTCACTATTGGTCTGGAAGAATCGTTATGCAGCCTTCAACTTTCACACCGTTTTCTTTTTGTTAGCCGAATATGTCATTCGGCTTATGGTTGGCTGAGTATCGGCTTGTGTGTTAAAGTTGCGGCGCGTCCCGCTGTTGTAGCCTTACTGGCTCTATATACCTTCCGGTTTTTCGCAATTCCTTGCTGTTGCGTATACTTGTCCTTCACTACTAGTATAACAGCAGATCAGTTATCATTCATTGTAATATGTCAAGTACTACCACGACGGAGACGGAAACTTACGTGGATACCTGGGTTCACTACCACGATGGTGGTGTACCCGGTCGGAGGCCAGTCCTCAAAGGCACCGCTGCCAAAGAAACGTTCAATGAACTACCCAAGATCGACTTCCAACGTATATACTCAGACAACCTGGATGATAGAAAGGAACTAGCGAGAGAGGTGGGCGCCGCGTGTCGAGACATTGGTTTCTTCTACGCAGTGAACCATGGAGTGGATAATGACATATTGGAAGGCACTTTCGAAGCGTTGAAGGAGTACTTTGCGCTACCAAAAGACATCAAGATGGAGACTCATAACCAAAAGACGGAGAAGTTCAGAGGTTACGAAGCGTTTCTAGAAGGAAAACTCGACCCAAGTACACGAGGAGGTAGCGTCTTCACTGACTCCATACACCGAACCGTGCATATCTCTAATAACAATATCTAGATCTCAAAGAAGGTTTCCTGATGGGCGAAGACTTCACCGACGAAGAGCAACTCTCTCTCGTCTCCTCTCTACCCCCTTCCCCACAAACCCCACGCAATCAATGGCCCACCCACCCCTCAGTCTGCTTCTGGCGCCCCGCAATCTACCGCTACTACAAAGCCATGTTCGAATTCAGCAAACGAATGCTCCACATCTTTGCCCTCGCTCTTGACCTCCCCGAAGATTACTTCGACACCATCACAACGCATCCCATGACCAACGTGCGCGCCGTCCACTACCCACCACAAGAGCGACAGAGCGACGTTGGAATTGGCGCCCACACAGACTTTTGTTGGTTCACGCTCGTCTGCCAATCCAAAACCGCCTACCCGGCCCTCGAAGTGCTAAACGGAAACGGCATCTGGGTCCCCGTACACCCACAACCCAACACTTTTGTTGTCAACATTGCCGATTTCCTCAAATTGGTTACGGGCGGTTCGTGGCAGAGTACTGTGCATAGAGTGAGGAATATCGGGGGTGAGGAGAGGTATAGCATGCCTTTTTCTTTAGCCCCAATGAAGATGCAAAGGTTAGCGTTGTGCCACATTTGAGAGAGGAGGGGGTGCGGTATGATGAGTTTGGTGTTGGGGAGTATTTCCAGAAGAGGTTGGATATTGATCGGAGGACGCATTTGGATAGAGACGAGAAGGAGGAGACGGAGAAGAAAGAGGACAAAAGGCCGACGGTGGAAAGGAAGGATAGTGGGCTTTGAGAATGCGGGCATATTTTTTGGCGGGGGGATAATGCGTCAATTTGTAAAGTGAATTTCGGCCTCAAGATATCCATAAACTAGTTTTTGCTTGAGAGATACTATGCTTCGTGAATCCATATAGATAGCCACGCTATCAAGCATGGCCATTTCGCCTCTTCGCTTCCTCCAACGCCATACGTAGTCGTTCTTCCTTTGCCGTGTCCTCACTACCTTGCCCCGTCTTCCTCTGCACCAACTCCATAATCTCAGTCTCATCACTATCAAGCACACTCACTCTCCTTTCATACTCCTCTACCAATCCTTTCTCAGCTTCTTCCTTCTCAACCTCCAACTCTCGTATACGTTCTGCATCTGCATCATCAGCCTTCACCTGCGCAATCTCAGCATCGATGTCGGCATTGTTGGATTCAACCTCCAGCGCATTGAAGAGGGAGAGAAGAGCCTTGGATGAAGTTTTCAGGGCTCTGAGTGTCGATTGTGCTTGTATGAGAACATCCGGGTCACCGGTGCCATCCTCAAGATCCTTGATGACTGCAATGACGTAGTCGATTTCTTTTTGCTCATCGCTCACCGCATCAACGACGACTCCCTCAGTAATCTGAAGAAGTTCGCTAATACGTTCAGCCTTCTCACGCTTAGCTTCGAAAATAGCTTGTTTCTCCGCATTCTCGAATTGCTTCTCAACGGCCTTCATCTGACTGATGTTGCCGGCGGCGTAAAGAGGTTGCGTCTCGGTTTTCTTGTAGCGTCTATCGCGCTCTGCAACAAGCTGTACGACACTGTCGTGTCTCTTCTCGATCCGCTCGTGGATATCTCTTAGAAGCTCGAAGCAGTCTTTCGTACTTGGATCATCCGTCTCCTTGAAGCTCTTGAGTCCTCTCACAGAGGATTGCAGAAGATGCTTAGCTTCCACGTACAGATCCATGAGGGATTTGATCTCGGCATGTAGGCCATTGAAAATTGGATCGAATACGGTGTCCACGTAACTCTCGTATTCGTCCTTGTCTTCTTGTGCTTTGAGCTCGCCCTCTTTCTGCTTGAATTCTTCCTCGAGCTGATTCATCTCCGCGTACGAGATCTCATTGTTGTTAAACAGGTCGTCGTTATGCTCCTCGTTCTCTTCTTGACGCTTGCGGCGGGCGTCGTCCTTCTTACGCCGGTTCAGCGATGTTGACTTTTCCCATGTCTTCGTAAGGTCTTCGGTGTTGCTGGATTTTGATCCAATATCCGCGAGCTTAGTTCTGAGATCTTGTATCCGGCGATTCGAAGAGTCAGAATTGATCTGCTTCGGCAACAGACCCTTGAGCACCTGGTTCGGATCTCCCTTTGACGGTGTAGCGGCAGACGCTGGGCGGCGTGGAGTTAGAGTCAATGGCGCGGGCAAGGGAATATCTGCTTCGCTACTGGAAGGCCGAGGAGCAGGCGACTGTGCAGTCGGTTGATGAGCTCCAAAGAAGATCTCATCATGGCCCTTGCTGTTGCTACGTCCCGATGGTGAAGCCACACCTGGAGTATTGGAGAAAGGCATCGTTTGTCTGTGCCTCAATTGAGGAGGGTCAATGGATATGCTAGCAGGTGGAACGTATGCCTTGTATTGAGGTTGCATCGGCTCCTCAGGCAGAGATTGAACTGGCGTTTTGTTTGTATCGTCGTCAATAGAGCTTGTCGGAGTCAGAATTGTCGTTGATACTACCGAGGAGGTGGCTTCGGAGGGCCCTGATAGTTTTCAATAGGCGGCATCGTACTTTGACGTGCCAAGATAGGTCTGCCACCAGGACTATATTCATAATCGTCCTCATATGCAGACCCCTGCGGTACTTGTATGTTCAGATCCTGTCTCTTGGTGGATATGTTTGAAGTTGCAACTTGCTCTGTTTGGTGTGACGTCTCTGGCTCTACTGGAAGCGTTTGCGTTGAGGCGTCGAAAAAGTTGATTGTCCTCATGCTAGACTCCACCTTCATGAATGCCTTGAAAATCTTGATTTTCTCTTCAACTTGCGGTGCTGCTGCCTCACTACGAAGCATGGTTACGTATCGCTCTAATGAGCCGACATACCACGGGTCGATATCCGAGATAAGATCGGCAGGGGTGGCTTTTGGCAATTCTCTCGACTTTTCAGCTTCAAGTTGACGCTTCAACTCAGCGACGAGATTGTCACGCTCTTCAATATTGTGTTCCTTCCCTTCCACATCTTCTTTCAGTCTTTCAATCGTCATGTTCTTCTCCTTTACTAAAGCCTCGGAGTTGACAGTGGCTTGGTCTGCGGCGGTTCTCACAGTCTCAATCTGTGCACGTAAAACGATCATCTGGCTCGCACTATGCGTTTTGTTGGCTTGATACTCAGATAAAAGTTTTTGATTGTCAGCCTCCAGCGCTTCAATCTTCGCGTGTAGTTCAGCCCTTTCCCGTTCTGCATCTGCGCGTAGCTGGTGGATAATGTCATCCTTCTCTTTTAACTCCACAGTATAGTCATAGCTAAAGGATCCAGCGTCGTTAGACTCATTGGTAGTTCGTGACTCGAAATGATGCTTGGGCTGTGTCGGTGTGTGTTGTGATGTATTATACCCGCTCTCGGCTGAGACAAACCCTGTCGTCAATGCAGCAAGTTGATAGGGAGGCTTCGCACCCTGTATGGGTCTTGGCGTAGTTCTCAGGGGTGCGACGATGGCATCTTCTACAACGAACCCTTGGTCAGACGACTGCGAGTCTTGACGTAGGGCAAGACTTGTCGTCACAGACGGCGGTGTGGGTGTATAGCCTTCATCCCACTCACTTGAACTCACATGTGCGGGACGTACTGCAGGACTGGGAAAACTATGTGTCGAGGGAGGAGATGGGACGTGAGCAGGCAACTCAACGCTTTCTGGCTGGGTAGTGTCGCTTTTCTTTTCCTCTTTCTTTACCCCAAATAATTCTTCGTCGTCGATTTCCTCACTGCCACCTAAATGTTCCCAATCAGAAGGTGCACCCGCGGCCAGAACACTGAACCTTGACTTGTCATCGCGAGGTGGAGGCGATACGGGTAGTTTGGGTGCGGGGGGTTTTGGTGAGGACGTCTTGTTCTCTGCGCGTTGTGCGTAGAGATTGGCCAGGGCTATGGAACTCACGGAGTCGGTGCGTCCAGATACAGGTTGATAACCAGATGCAGAACTCACACTCGGACGATTAGATATGGGAGACACAGGTTGACTCGGCGGGCTTGGCTGATGGTAGAAGTTCGGCGTAGCGGTTTCAATTCGATTGGATGGCTTTGGTTCTTGAATCCCTTGGTTCGGCATTTGAGCGTACTGCCGTCCTAAGAACGAGTCTTGTGCTTGGTATCCTGATTGCGGGGGCTGCTGCTGAGGCTCATAGGTCTGTGGTACGCTATGTTGATAAGTAGACTCGGGTGCTGGAGATGCGGACTGCCACGGTCTCTGCAGGTGCGGATCTGATGGAGATGGTTGACCATGATGTTCATACACTGAATGTCCATACTGTTGCTGTACTAGTTGTTGCTGCGATTGCGCCTGTGGGTATATCGGTTGTCCGACCGGCTGTTGCGAAGCTGGTATTGCACCCCAAAATGACCTTGATACTGATGCTGCTGCTGCTGCGGCGGCGGCGGGTATTGGCCTGACGGTTGCTGTGACTGATGAGGTGTCTGCGATTGTGGCGGGTATTGATCAGAGTTGGGGTGTCCATATTGAGGTTGGTGGTGCTCTGGATGTTGCACACTCTGTTGGCCATGTCGAGGAGGCAGAGGCGGCGCTTGCTGCTGGGCATTATGATATCCCTGTGCGTACTGTGGTTGCTGCCACGTAGGAGCTACTGGCGGAGGAGGAACGTATGCACTGGGTGCTGGGAGAGGTGGCTGTGTGTATGCCGGCTGCTGCTCATTCGGGCTGACAGCAGTGGAGGGTTGATGTGGTCCAGCTGATGGCGCATTCGTGTATGAGCTGACCTGGCCTGCACCATAGATGGAGCTGGGCCTTCCTCCTTGTGAAGATGGGAAGTATGAACCTCCCGGTGTGGCTGAAGGCGGCGGAGGGGCTGCATTATGATATGGCTGTTGTGGTGTCCCTTGTACTGGGTATCCTCCCTGTTGCGCATGAGGCGCGTACCCGGTATTCGGTTGCGATTGTTGCGACCAATTCTGCGTGCTTTGCTGCTGCTGCTGCTGCTGCTGTTGTTGTTGTTCTTGCCGTTGGACTGCCGCTGCGAAGCCATAGGGTTTGGGTGGAGGTGGAGGAGGCTGGTCCTGATGTGGTGGAGGGAGATGATACGATTGATGCTGCGCACCTGGCATAGTACCATACGTGCCCGGATTGTACCCTCTTGTCCCTTGTTGTTGCGATTGATTCCATGGGTTCGACGTATGCGTCGGCGTTGGCGCAGCCCATTGGCCGTGGGCTTGAGGAGCAGGTGCTTGATATCCCTGAGAAGCTTCGCCATCAAGTCAGCGCCTCGCTCTGGATCTATAATAAATGTTGCATCACATACCTCCATATCCGGGGGGCGGTGGTGGCACTGGTGGAGGAGCGGTCTGCTGGCCCGTGAAGCTCGTCGTGCTTCCTGGCCGCTGGTAGCCTGGTGTTTGCCCGTAGTTCTGCATCGCGAATACGCGCTTCTCAAACAACCCGCTCAATATCTACGTGTAGCGATGGATAGCGGATCGTGTTCGCTGGGAGCGCGGGCTCGGGTTTCCAACTGAAGTGCCTGTGTGTATTAATAGGCTCTCCAGAAGTGTGACATGCACATGTACAGCAAGCGCTGGGTTTAGATCACGAAGGCAATTGTGATGAATCGTATGACATTGATGCAAGTAGTAAGTACAAGAAGTTGATACCGAAATACATCAAGCAGTGCCTCGTCCATGCGGCACAAGGCTGAATGCTCGAGTCCAGGTGCGCAGAAAGTGGAATGGTGCCACAGCCACGCGGTGATCTGCATGCGGTTCGTCCCCGCTTCGCCTTGCCCCATGTGACTTGGGCCTTCTCTTTGCCAAAACAACTCGCATTCGTGTCCAAACATCAGTATACATTAACAAATGAAACCGAGTATATTCTCGACTTCGGATCGGGCTTGTTACAGGCCTCATGCGTAAATGAAACAGTCAATCTTATTCAAGTTGTACGCTTCCGTCTCTGATCCGCGATATGCGTAAGGACATACTCCACGTCCATCGCAATCGCTTCCAGTGTTTCCTTTTGCTGGACACCCTTCGGAGCCTTACGTGTCATGCCTCCCGCCGTACTCAAAGTCATCTGCAGCACGTCAGCATACATCGACTAGTGTCAGACATGTAAAGCCTACCATATCCCAACGATGACGGTCGCTGTGGGCAGACTTTGCCTGTTGCGCAACATCTTCACCGATGCCTGCTCCTCTCGGAGCGCCAATGAGCCTCTCCAACGAGACGTAGGTGCCTTCTGTCAGCTTCTTCCCCTGGTGCTGCTTCGGATTTGCATTAGGTGTTGATCCAGACCCTGCGATGGAGGGGAAATGGTAGCATTGTGAGGATCCTTTCGTCTTCATCCGACTCCTCTCTTGCACAATCTTGACATCGCCAAATGATGCATAATCAAGCGGTAGCTGAACAGTAAAGGATTTAGAGAGCTCAGAGGGACTATGCGACCGGTAGGTGTTTGCAGTGACGATTAACACATGGAACACGCGGTCTTGTAGTAAGCTGAGTCCAGCGACCTTGGGCATTGTATGAAACATTTGAGATACTACAGTACTTTAGCAACAGCTCAGACAGACATATGACTTTCCGAATGGGGAACCTACTAAACATCTCCACGTTATGAATCTCCTCACGGTGACCTGACTGTTGTACAGCTTTCAATAGCTCTTCATGATCCCACTTCAACAGCTCAACGGCGTCGAAAACGCTCGGCGTATAGATAGCTTCATTGCGACCGTGGTCTTTCGCCAGCAAGTCACCCAACTCGGAAAAGTTGACATGGGTGTCGCTATGGGTAGAAGTTCTGACTGCCCATTTGGCTTGATTCAGATCTTTGACGCGCTTCTCAACCGAGACTGGAACAGGAATTGCATCGTTACTCTCTGTAGCGTTCAATGGGGGCATCATCACATGTCCACTCTCCGGGCTCCAGGTCCCGCGATTCTCAAAACCTTCATCGAAGTCGATTCCCCGTACTTCGCTAAAGAGGTTGTCGAGGAATTGAACGAAGCTTACATTGTGATCTGAGGCAGCATTATCGTATGTCGGATGATAAGGCAAATCGAGTTTCTTCAAAGGCTTCAAGTTGAGGTATTGGCTTTTTAACGCTGCTGTAGTAGTGGAATTAGTATTACTTGGTTTAGCATTAGTATCAGCATCCTGTCCCAAGTTATACTGAGGTTGCAATGGCTTGGATTGCACAGGATCCCTAGCATTGGCAGGTTCTGCCATGCTTGTAGCGGAGCGGAAGTCTTGGAAACCTGCAGCGGACTACAATAGGCGACCGAAGCGGGTCCGTTGCAGTCGTTTGGCGAATGACAGGAGAAGTGCGTCAAATGCCTAGACCGCTGAGATGCAAAGAATCGTGTGGTACAGGGAATAAGTGCCGCGGCTACCAGCACACAGATCAGTATCAGCTCACCCCACTCGAGGCAATTTCTTACGTACTTGACCAGGTAAGCCACAGGCTTGCACAAGGAACACTTATGCGGTTGGCACGAACTGTGTGTGGTGCGAACGTAGTGACTAATCGGTCATACACCACATGGACATGTACGGGCGATGGTCTGGAACAGACTAGATTATATGGGCCGTGTACACAGGAATTGTTGTTTGTAATGTAGATGCAATTTGGTAGATGCCAAGCAGAGATTTGATGGAAGACGTAACAATAGAAGATGAAGTTGTGACACTGAAACGGGGATCGACGAGGGTATGTGTGGCCTTGATTGGCTCGTGCCTAGTTGTGCGATATGCAAGCTAGGAAGCAGCAAGTGTTCGCTTTGAACTGCATGCCACCTAGACGGAATACGAGGACTTTATTGTAAGCAATTCGGAACGATGGTATGTATTCGGTCTCACGTTCTGGGACATACGAGCCTACAGTGTGCAAGTTTCTGGTACAGTACCCGGATAGCAGGCAAGCTATCAAGTATGGCAGAATACAACGTGGACAATGCCATCTTATGTGCTCATGATTCAGAATTGGAGTTACATTGAACAACAGGCAGTTAGTGCTGCACTCAACATACGTTCAAGTGGAATTATCCGGTGGTGCCGAATGCTCAAAGGTATGCGTGGGATTGGCACAGGAGTCTAAACATCCTCAGAGGGAACAGATCTGCCCTCCTCTGACTTAAGTGTGCCATCACCATTGGAAGATCAAGAGAGCATACCAATGCGAGCGGATATTCTGTTTTGCATGTCGATCCAGAAAAGCCGGTTGCCGACTCCGCGGTTGTCCTGCTGTCAGTAGGTATTTACGCTCCGCGGACGTCAAGCTGATAACACAGTTGCTCCTCGGAGCTCACAGCCAACGCCTGCAGGGCCCTCGTTCGCCGTTCCCGTTCGGCAATGGCAGGATTCTGTACCGGAGGTCTGGTTCAGCTGTGGCCTCAACTAACTCTCACCGGCACTTCGTTACGAAGAGGCAAAAGCAAGGGTACATGCGTCATGCAGGTGCTGTGGAGTAATCAGGTCGCAGCTGCCTGCTGATGCTAGAAATCACGCAACAATAGGAAATCAACTGTTTCATCATGATGGTTTCGTGCAAAAATCTCTCTCGTGTTCCTTTGGGGTGTGAGTGGACCCGCTGGCATATAAGCCGCTGTCCGTGGTGTATAGACAGGGGCCCTTGTGATCTATACCGAATCCGAGCACGGTGTCGAACCACCTGCACGTGATTTATTTTCTATCGAATTGAATCCCTGTCATGTGGTGCCGGATCAGCATGCCAGATCTTCGATGTTGACGGACATGGATAAACCTCTCAAGATCCACATAACACGCCACGCCAAGCGCACAATCTCGATGTCGCTCGGGCCAAACAACCGAAGGAGGGTCCACCCTAGTATGACTTTTGCTGCAGTGACAAGCTAGTTGCTGCCTCTCCGTTGGGCGCCATTGAACCCGCCTTGCGCAGACATTATGACCGCCTCATACAGCGTGCGGACTTGTTCATCAAGCAAGGCTGCCTAGCTGTCACACTACATGATGTAGTCGATGAAATGGTCCAGATCATCGTCGCAGCTGACTTTCCAGCCCCCATGTGTACAAGAGAAATTGTCAAGCACGCAGTGTTGTTCAAGCGAAAAGATCTAGATTTCCTATATACAAACTCCGCGTACTCCTGGAACCGCCCATATACCCGCCATGCAGCAGTTCCGTGTATTCTCACGGCATATACCATGGGAGCTAAACTTCCAACCCTTCTACTCTAACATGGCGGGTCCTCCGCATGCAGGCAACATCCGTCCGAACGGCGTAGGCATTGCGCATCTAGAAGGGCCCATCATCCAGCTGCCAACTCCTCAATCAGTCAGGCAGGGATCATCCTCCGTATAATCACTCGGTAATCGAAAGGTCGACTGGTTGCGTTTGGGTATCATCTCGAAATGGCAAAGAACATATGAAAACGTAAAGCGTCTCCGCGTATGCTTACTGGGCTGATGTGCGATACACGCATGCCAATCGTGGCTTTACTGGGGTTGCGCAGCGATACAGCTGTTGGCCGCATGCTGACCACTGGAACGAGCCGTGTGTAATGCTCATACCATATCGTTTACTGTAACGTTGGTATAAATTCAAAAAATCAAGGCGAAGCTTCGGTCTCCATCACGTCGTCATCCACTGCTCTCGACGCCAGCTCTCCTGCTCTCACGAGGACGGCGAGTGACCCCTGCGTTCGATAATCATGGGGGTTATGTGAGAGGTGGGGTGAAGGCATCTGTGGCATCGGTCGATCCAATGGAGAGGCTAGTGGACCCATTGTAGGCACTGGTTGGGGAAGCATGCGCATCGTCTTGCTTGGGTCTACAGGTAATGTCTGCGCCGAATAAACTGTGAAAGGATATCCCGTAGACCCTTGGGTGCTGTGACCGCTCTCGGATGATAGTGTCGTGTCCTCGTGGCTGAGAGGAGGAAGACGCGCAGGTTCTCGCGGAGTCCTGCGAGAAAGCATATCGATAGGCGCTTGATAGTGGGTTGAATGGGGATAAGAAGGCGGTGCTGTAGATGTGATTTTCTGGTGAAGATCCAGGTTGTACGCAGAAGGTTGATGATATGGGTTGGCATCGAAAGGAATCCTTGGGTCCCGAATAGGGTTGGGCGCGGATGGATCAAAGGCTCCGTCTCTTTGCAAGCCATTGATACGTGGAGACGCGGAAGTAGGGGAGAATTGCTCGCCTGAGCGCGGGGAGTTGAAGCCAGAAAGGGAACGGTTAGCCGGTGACGTTGAGTTTGAGGAATAGACTGGACCGGCAGGGAGTCGTGAAGGGCCAACGGGCTGGGCTGGATCGGATTTCTGCTGTACTGTTGTCTGGGCGTCTGACTGGATAGTACTTAATCTTCGGTTTGTGGCTTGATCGTTCTGTTCGTAGCTGCCTCGTGCTGAAGTGCTGGGCTCGGATTCTAGCTTCGAACGTTTGCCTTCTGCACATGTCAATACGCTGCGGCGCGGTAAATTGAGGGTTGTAAACAGACCTTTGGTGGGCACTGAGTGTTTCGCCTTGAAGTCTTCGAGATACTTTTGATAGGCCTCATAATTTGGCGTCTTCTTGTACTCAGCTAACTCCGCGTAGTACTTCTCTTTCGCACCATTGGCCTGTCGTTCGCAACCTTCGCGTTCCTCGGCGGGCAACACTTGCCATTTCTCGCCTACCACCTTGGCGATCTCAGTGAAGGAAAGATCTTGTCCCTTTAGTGACTCTCGCACCTCTACTAAAAATTAGTTGTGTTCATGTTGCACAAAGACAAAACTCACGGTTAGAGAAGATGACGTAGGCCGATGGCGGGCGTTCTGGGGCATGCTCGTCGGGCTATGCCATATTAGCAAGATTGCATGACATGGTAGAAGTTGGAATATGGGCTACCTTGGGATGCCGCCGGTATTTTCGCTTGGCCCCTGTGCCACCCGGCGCAGGGTTGGTAGAGTCTGGCTGCTTGGTTTTGCCCTCTGGTCCTGAGTCGTCACTGCGATATGAGCCGGCAGTACTTCCAGCTCGTGTAAGACTGATGGGTAGGGGCCGATCAGAAGACTGTCCGCGCGATTCGGCAATGGCCCGTTGAAGTTTCTACACAGAGTTTAGTTGTTGGCAAGGCCAAAGGGGAAAGGAAAACAACCTACCCGACGATGTCCAAGCTTGACGTTCAGGGAACTTCTACATAGCAGTAAGCACAAGTCGAGGCAGGTACGAGTAGGGTATGTGCGCACAAGTCGGATTCTGTAATGTCGAGCACAGTCTCCCAAGTGTCGAAGCCTTCGGCCGTGAACACTTCGTGGTATTGGGACAGTCCCAATCGCGCGAGACGTTCTCTCAAGTCGCTCATGTAGGAGGGCGTGGGTGCGACCGCTGGGTGGTGTGGTGTAGCGACCAACTATCGAAATGGGCTGGCCGAAGAGGGTTCGATATGTTTGGAATTATTAAAGCACTAGTGGCAATGGGCTGGGATCGAGCGTGATCGATAGGACTCGAGTATGGCGGAACTAGTGTACAGGGATAAAATAGGAAATGGTCGCGTCGTGGCCCAGGCTATGTGATTGGTGCAGCACGACGAGTGTGGCGGATCGACTCTTAACGAAAATCCGCGTAAGGGTCAAAGTGTTGCAGGGCGCTGGGCGCAGAGAAGAGCAAGTTGAAGGAGTCGTCAACGACTAAGATGCATCCATAAGTGGTGGCGCCTAACGTTAGGTTTGGGGTAGGTGGGTCCCGGACCGATCAGCAGAATTCTGTGATTATGCTGTGGTAGGGGTAGGGAGAGTCTCGGCTATTGTAGCAGTAAAGACGGCGGACGCAGCCTAGTAGAGGCGCAACCAGGACAACGGCTGTCGATAGTCAGCAAGCGGCCGGATCTCATTTGGCGCGTCCCAAGCGGTGCTGCGCGCTGAGCAGAGTCGCACGAGGCCTGGGTTGCGGTGAGAGTGGGCAATTCTGGGCGAGGGCGGTGCAGGCCCAGGGAGAGAGAACAGGGCTAGTAGTAAGGATTCGGCGCAATCATGGCGGGCGTTGCAATTGGCGCAGGAGACGAGTCAGAGAGAGCGGGTGTGAAGAAGACGGCGGCGGCGGTGGTGGTGGTGGTGGTGGTGGTCAGGACGGGTGCAAAAGACGCAAGAAAATAATGCTGTGTGACTGTGCAAGCAATACCTTCTAGGGCCCCGGCCCAGGGCTCTCGAGATCAGAGCAGGGCAATCGACGCAACGGACAGCCAGCGAGCGCGAACACGGGACGACCAAGGGAACGCTCCAGCCACCTCTTCCTCACGGGGAGCACACTAATGCGGAATCTCCTCTAGGATATGGCGCGGGCTGATAGGCTGCGAGGGCGTGCGGGTGATGCTTTCAAGTCTACAGAACATCTCAGACAAAGGCACGATCGACGAAACGCCGGTACCTACAGTAGGGCCGATTCGCAGGAGCCGGCGACGACCTGGTCTGCTATCTGCGCTGACGGTGGTCCGCAATTGCAATTTCGTAACCCCTCCTCCTCCACCTGGCGTGTCCATGCATGTCCATGGAGAGAATGACGTTAAGCTGACATGGATGCATTTGCCTTGTCATATTGGAGCACTTCACCAACACGCCGCGGAACGACGTAAACGCCGCTGAACAGCCGAACAGGCGGGCATCCTCACGACCATGCCTGGTGCGACGGCATGGCCTGTTTCTCGAACTAAGCGAACACCAGACATTCGATCTGCGATGAGACGCAGATGGCGGCGTCTTGTGCGAACGACCAAAACCCGTAAACGCTCAAGATGGACTGCATCGGCGATTGAAATTTCCAAGCCTCAACACGCGACAAGGCCTTGCAGTTGACACTGTTGCACATTGTCGACCCATCACAGTCACTACACGCGCAACTTACTATCGGGCTGATCAACGCGCTGCAAGGGGCGGGAAGGGCAGCTGGGCACCCACTTCCGCCAACTCAGCATTAACAGCGGAGCGGAACATTGCCCATTTCCTGTTGAAGCAACGCTATCCTTGGCTACAGCACGCACGTGAGTATGACGGACGGGCACTCATCCATGAATACATTGCGCTATGTCTCATCTGAAGCTTCGTGATGATGGAATTCTGGGCCCTGGGCGTCATCAGAACCGCCTTAAATCAACCCAGCGTGAGCATCGCGACCGACGGTTCGTCCGCCTTTTCATCCACGTCGCCTCGTGACATGTTCAACCTCGGCAGCAGACAATGCCGGGCTAGACGCACCAACCGCACTGGTGGCCGTGTCGTCGTCGCAATGTGGTTTGCAATCATACCACGCTGCATTTGTTGGCTCACATCGGCCCTACTCGTCCTCCAGTACAGTCTGCCCATCTCCTCCGGGCACCATCTGGAAATGTCAATACTGGTGGCGTAGAAACTAGACAGGGCGTCCCATACCATGCAGATGTTGTTGCCGTTCAATAAGATTTTGGGCAGCTGGACGCTTCCCTCTACCGGGTCACTGTCTTCGTGTCAGTTGGACATGTCCATGTCGAACACCAAAGAACCTTGAAGCTACGCACATCTCCGTTACGTTCTCCAAGACCATGTCTGTTCTCGTTAGAATGGTTCCGTCCACGTTGTCTCTCTCAAGCACACTTACTAACGTAGTCATCGAAACCAACCAGCTTCCCCGTGAATTCTTTCCCACCGTTCATGATGACCCAAATCTGCGAACCCACGCATTTGTCGATGAGTTCTACCGTAATTAGCCATGAACAGACACTCGCTTGCAACCAAGACTTACCAAGCGGAAGAAGGTTCTCGAGCGACATGGCGGCGTGTTTTGTTGTAGGCTGCGTATCGGTCGTTGAATTTAGATGTCGTGTTTGAGGCGCAGGTAGGATCAAGGTGATGATTGGATTCGATATCTTGGCGTTCAAGACCATCTTCCACAGGCGACGCGCTAGCCAACCAATGCTCGTGAAACAGCAAACATCCTGTCCACCCAATCGACCCGCATCCGTGGCGACTATCCTCTCCTGCCGGTACCTAGTGGGAGCACTACCATGGAGTGTTATGCTCTTCCATCGACGCGCCTCTCTGCTGAGCGCGTCAGATGCCCCGCGACGTGTTTGCCATGAGACACTCGCCAACACCCTACCCTCTGTAGAGCGCTCTACACACGCCTCGCATACGTCGTATATTGGAGAGCGCAGAGCGATGCACACCACCCCGCTATGCTCAACACCCATTACCTCACCCACCTCGACCTGCCGCTGGAAGCGAGGACGGCCTGTTACTAGAAACGACAACTTTCCTAGAAGGATCTACCAGACTCCCACCGCGGGACTACAACCTTTAGTGAGCCAGCTCAGTTCCAAAGAGGCAGTACCCATGGCTGGAAAACCCCATCGCCTACGTCAGGCACCGGCCACGCTACACGTACGATCCGCTGAGACTCCTCCAGCACTAAGCACTGACCGATCCCAGCGAGTGGGACTTTGGAATCCAGCTCATGGACTACGCTTTGCGACAACAGCGACGGCTGAAGCGCCCAAGTCAGACTCTATCCCTGAAGCCGCCGAGACTACATGTACACGTATAGACGAATCAGCTGCGACGACTCGCACAGACGACCCCTCTCCGCACACTAAAAACGAAGCAAGAGATACTACGGGGCAAAACGGGGAGTTACTGTAGAAGATGCCTCAGAGAGTGAAGACTCTAACGGTGTCTCATCCCAGTCAGAGACTGAGTCCAAGGACGAGGAGGAAGACGACGACGAAAAAGAATACGTCTCTCTTGCATATCAGATTCCAGAGGAGAAGTTGCGTGCTGCAATGCTTGCCACTCCCAACACACGTGACAGTTATTGGAGTGCGAGACTCTACCAAGGACCTGATGGCGAATCGCTCTCGACCCATTATTGCAAATCCTTTGACGTTGCTGAAAGGGTAGCCAAATACTTCTTACAAGAGAAAGTAGTGGGCTTCGATATTGAGTGGAAGCCTCGTGGAAATCCGTATTCGATCAAGCAGAATACTTCATTGATTCAGCTAGCGTGCGAAGATCGAGTTGCTCTCTTTCACCTGTCGCTTTTCTCTGGAACTAAAGTGGAGCAGCTTATGCCACCTAGTCTCAAGGCTGTTCTCGAATCGCCGGATATCTACAAAGTAGGTGTGGCTGTCAAGGGTGACTTCAAGCGTCTGGAGAAGTACCTCAATATCCAAGCTCAAGGTGTCTTCGAGCTGAGTCGCTTGCATAATCTAGTCGAGTGGTACGAGGTCGACCCTAGCAAAGTCTCACATAGACTTGTCAATCTCGCGTCTCAGGTGCTGCAGCACCTCCAATTGCCCTTGTACAAGGGCGAGCGACTAGTCGATGATCTCGAGACAACCTCCAGCGTTCGAGAAAGTGACTGGAGTCTTCCTCTGAATGTGCAGCAGATACACTACGCAGCCGCCGATGCATATGCTGGATTCCGTCTCTATCATATGCTTGAATGGAAAAGGACGCGAATGAAGCCGACTCCTCCCCCAGTGGCTCTTTGCGATTTCGACAATAAGCTTACACCCAGGTCCAAGGAACCCCGTAAGAGGATGAAAAGTTCCAAAGAGGTCGCAGACACAGTTGTAAAGTCCTCAGTTGATATTGCTGAAGAGCAACAAGAAGACGAAGAAGATGCCGAGGGTTATGAGACAGCAACTGAAGAACTCACTGACAGCTATCAACTCGAAGAACCATCATATGCAAAGTCAACAACTGCCTCCACAGACGGAGCGAACAGGACTTGCGCATCCGAACCCACTGCGAACAGCATTTTAGAAAATACTGAGGATATGGGAGCTGAACGGGGGGTTGCTCGACAAAAGCGAGTTGGCCGAATGAACCTCTCCTGGCTCGATAGCACTGATCCCGGATACCCTGAGCTGCCAAGGACATCACAGGAAGAAGATGCTGAATCAGTGTCTACTGAATCCTCTGAAAACTATGTTGTGCATCCCAAGAAGCAAGACAATGATGTCTCACACCAGAGGCAAATTGATGCCGACGATGAATACGCAGACCCAGCACTTGAAGAAGCACTTGGACGCATGACCCTGGACGATAGTGGAAGGTTGACGGAAGACGTGAACGACCCGGTATCAGAGCATACAACACCACAATCAGACATCGGCCTGCTAGACGAACCATCACGAACACCTGAATACAACCTGGCAACAATATGGGCGCAAGAGCATCTTCGACTGACCATCCCATCGCCTACCTCGACGGCACCCTCGCGTATACGTGCAACCGTGACGCACCTTCGCGCTTATCATATGTGGTATCATCAGAAACTCCCGGTTGACAAGATGGCACAAATTTTGCGAGATCCGCCGCTCTCATGTAATAC